AGCAGCAGCAGCAGCAGGAAGAGGAGGAGGAGGAGGAGGAGGAGGAGGAGGAGGGAGGAGCGACGAGGAGGAGCAAGCAGATGGAGGAGAAGGAGGGAGGAGGGAGGAAGAGCGACCAGGAAGAACAAGCAGGAGGAGGAGGAGGGAGAAGCCAGGAGGAGCGACGAGGAGGAGCAAGCAGGAGAAGGACGAGGAGGAGGAGCGTTGCAAAATCAAGAAGCATCCACGGATGTTGCCTCCCCAAACAAATTAAAAAAGCAACAAAAAACAACAAACAAAAAATCATCCCTCCAAGCTCCCCCTCCATAGGTCCCTACAAGATGTGTTCTTCATTGTGGGAAGTGTCCTATTGGAAGAGAACCGTCTCATAATCCTCAACCGTGTCAAAACACCATTCCTGGAACTCTTAGCGACGCGAATCAACATTACTGTCACGTCCTGACGGTTCTAAAAAAATCCAGAACACCATTTCTGCGACTTCAGCACCACGAACCAACGTGACCGTTGCGCCCTGACAGTCCTAAATCGGGTCAGGATACTATTCCTGAAACTTTAACCCTTCGAACCTTAAAACTGCTGCAAATATTCAAGACGAATGCGCACAGCCCTGAAGCGAGAGCCAAATTTTGAGATGGAACCGCCCTCCATCCTTGCAGCTGTTGCGAACTTTAAGACGAGTGTCCGCGGAGCTAAGGCGGGAACAACAATGCGAAAACGGCCCACCTTCCATCCTTGAAACGAATGCGCGCGGCGCTAACGCGAGAGCAACAATGTGAAAACCACCCGCGCTCCATCCGCGAAGCTGCTGTGCTGCTGTAAGCTTCGAAAACGAATATGCGCGGCGCTAGGGCGACGACAGCAACCTTTTTGAAAACGGCCCGACCTCCATCATTGAAACTGTTACGAATTTTCAGAACGAATATGCGCGGCGCTAGGGCGAGAGCCACACTTTGAAAACCACCCGTCCTCCGTCCGTAAAACTGCTGTGAATTTCAAGCTTCAGGCTCATGAATGGTGAGGTATTTATCCAGGTGCGGCCCAGAGCGTGGCAGCGGGCGCCAACACGCAGGCGGACTCGGGCGGAAGCCCGACGAGAGTTCAAAGAGCCTCGGGCACATCCAGGGAGCGCCAGCACAAGAGACCTGGGGCATCAGACAGCCTCCAAGGCGAGGTAGGATGGAGGAGGAGGAGGAGGAGGAGGAGGAGGAGAAGATCCGCCGACCCCTTGGGGTCTGCGGAGTTTGAAACTGCTGCCACTCCCCAAACCCCTCCCCCAGGAGCTCGGTCCGGCCGGTTTGGATGCTGGCGGCACCGGCGGTGCCGGCGGCCTTGGCCCTGCTCCCGGACAGGCCCCGACGGCATCCACGAGACGTGCGCAGCCTCCAGGTCGCCTCGCCGTGGTCCCCGCGCGGCTGGCCCCAGGAAGCCCCGCGCAGTCTCGGAGCAGCCCCTGGGAGGTCCTCGAAGCTGTCTTCAGAGAGCTCCTGGACGACCCTGACGAAGGCCCCAACACGGCCTCGGATGGCCCCAAGAGCGGCCCAAGAGGGGCCCAAGACAGCCATACGCCCAAGAGGGGCCCAAGAGGGGCCCAAGAGGGGCCCAAGAGGGGCCCAAGAGGGGCCCAAGAGGGCGGCCCAAGAGGCGCTTCGGACGGCCCGGGAGGGCTGGGCGAGAGGCCAGAGGCCTGTCAAGGGGGGGAGAAGGAGCAGTTATTCGGGAAAACACACACACAAACACACACACACACACACACACACACACACACACACACACACACACGCACACACTGTGGAAACACACACACACACAAAAAAAAAAAAAAAAAAAAAATGGGAAAAACACAAACACACACACACACACACACACACACACACAAAAAAACAAAAAAAACAGACAACAGACAACAAAACACACAGGCTCTCCGCGCCCTGGATGCCTGTCCAGGTGGCGTTGTCGCAGGATTGGTGGGAGGACACGCCTGGCGAGTGCAGCGGGCACGGCGGCCGCCGCAGGGCGCGCCGCGGAGCGCTCCGGGAGCGCCTCGGGGCGCTCCAGGGGGGGCCATGGCTAGGAGGCAAAAGAACCTACCTCGCTTTTGACCACCCTCGCTTCCAAACGATACCAAACAACACCAGGCTACTGCCCGCACCAGTCAGGTCGCTTGACCAGGAGGCACGTGGTATGACTTGGTGCTGTCTGGAAGCGAAAGCGGGGTAGGTAATTCACGCCCTCAATGGCCCCATTCCTGGGCACCTGCCGTGTCGATCCCGAGCTTGCCAAGAAGAGACCATCCTGCATGGCGAGGCGATCCCGGTGCAGGATGGGGTCGAGGGGTCCGGGAGCCACGCACTGAGAGGAACCAGCGGCACGGCGGAGGTCCAGGGGGGAGGAGGTCGAGCGCGCCGCGGCGGTGTCTTTCTGGCTCGGCTGGTTCGACGTCTTCTGTGCGCAGGTTTGAGTGCGTCTGCAGAGCCATGAGGGGAGAAGGCCGAGGAGGGGAGCAGGCCGAGGAGGAGGAGGAGAAGGCCGAGGCCGAGGAGGAGGAGGAGGAGGAGGAGGCGGAGGCCGAGGAGGAGGAGGAGGAGGAGGAGCAGTAGGAGGAGGAGTAGGAGGAGGCCGAGGAGGAGGAGGAGGAGGAGGAGGACCAGAGTGAGCCCAGGATGCATCGGCGATGTTGCAACGCACCCTCTCGTCCTCCAGTGCGAGGCGGGGGTTTATCCATATCCACCGCCTGGGAACCGACGTCATGGTGCCCCAGCGGGACGTGGATATGGACCTATGTTGACCCCTGGGGACCCGAATTTATCCAGATCCACCGCCTACGGAAGTCCGCGAAGATCGATCCCCTAGGCGGTGGTTGTGGATAAATCCCCGCCTCGGACCTGAGCCCAGGATGAATCGGCGATACCCTCCCGTCCCCCAGACCCCCGACATCATGATTTTTGTCACGACGTCGACCCCCAGAGGTTTGGACCAATTCCCCGGGACCGACTTCTCATCCTGAGTCCTGCTTTGACGGCCCCGGGGCCTGGTAGGGGCCCCCAGAGGCCAAAAATAGCGAAAAACCTCCCGTCGTGATTTTCTCGTTACTCGAGGGGGTCTGGGCCCCCATGGAAGCTCCAGCCCCCCATGGAGTCCCCGCGGGCAGGGTCTCCCCCGAGGAGGAGAAGGAGGAGGAGGCGGAGGAGGAGGAAGAGGAGGAGGAGGAGGAGGAGGAGGAGGCCGAGGTCGAGGAGGAGGAGAAGGAGGAGGAGGAGGAGGAGGAGGCCGAGGTGGCCGAGGCCGAGGAGGAGGAGGATGAGGAGGCCGAGGCCGAGGCCGAGGAGGAGGAGGAGGAGGAGGAGGAGGAGGATAAATCCCGCCCCCGCCCCCCTGGAGTCCCCGCGGGCAGGGTCTCCCCCGCAGCCGCCTGCGAGGGGCGCCCCCCCCGCCCCCCACGCGGAGCGGCGAGGGCGCCCCCGGCGGGCCTGCCGCGCAGGGGCGCCGCGGGGGCGGTGCCAGGACCTCTCTGCCGGGTGCTGCCAAGAATGAAGGGGCCCTGGGACACACTAATAAATGCACGCAAATGAAAAGATTCCCCATATCTTTCCTATATGTTCTGGGTTTGTGTCTTCCCCCCCACACTTCCCATATGTTCCCATATTTCCTGGGGAATCGCCGATTCGTTGTGCCTGTGTGCTTCTTTCCCTCCTGAAAGAAGCCCAGACCCCCCCGGGTCATGCAAACATCAGGGCGGGAGGTTTTGCCCAGCTTTCGGCCCCCGAGGGGCCGTCACTGGGCCTCGAGACCGTCGGGAACACGACGCGGGAAGAGAGGCCGGCCGGGGGGAACGGGTCGAGGCCTCCGGGGGTCGAGGTTATGGAAAAAGTCATGGCGTCGGGGGTCTGGGAGCGCCCCTGGCCCAAGGCGCCCCCAAGGCTAGGTGGGCCCCGGAGACGGCGGGGCTGTGTTTTCACCGTTTTCGACAAAGGGCCTCTTGAACATGGAAACGGTAAGTAAAAAAACGGCGGCCGCAAACATCAACAAAAACGGCTCCGGGATTGGACATGGAAGCAGAAACGGAGAAAACACGGCGACGGAACCGGCAAAAAACGGCGACGGAGCCCGCAGAAAAACGGCAAAACGGAATCGGTAAAAAAACGGCCCTGTCGTTTCCAGGGCCCGCTAAACCCCCAGGATGTCCAAGGAGGCCCCCGCGGCCTCCAGAGCACACCTCACGAGGCCCAGAGGGCCCCAGGGGCTCCAAAACTGAGCGACCAGCTGGGGGCACCTTGGGCCAGGGGCACCTCCAGCAACCCCCGACTCTTGAGGACTCGGAGGGAGATCCGCCCCCTCTGGGCCCGCGAGAGGGAGCATGAGCAGAGCATGAGCAGAGCAGAGCAGAGCAGAGCGCAGGCAGTCGTCCCACAGGGGGGGGGGGGGACGGCCCACGAGTGGCGCGGCGAGGGCGCCTCGGCGCCCTGCTGCGTGAAGCTGACTGGAGGCGGAGGAGGCAGAGGAGGCGGAGGAGGAGGCAGAGGAGGCGGAGGAGGAGGGAGGAGGAGAGGTGGGAGGGGAGGAGGAGGAGGATGGAGTGGTGAGGAAGGAGGGAGGAGGAGGAGGAGGAGGTGGGGGGTTGGTTTGGGAGGCTCTGTGGGCCATCCTTGTCGCTGTGAGTTGCTCTGTGCCCCAGCGGGCGCCTCCCCCTGTCCAGGGAAGCTCGCCCCTCTGCGTCCCGTCGTGCACGCGCTGGCTTCACGACCTTGAGGTCGATCGAGGGCCGCGTTGCGATCGGCTTGTCTCGGAGCGTGGCCATCAAGACGCGACGGGTCACGCAAGCCAACGCTTGCCCAACGCAAAAATGCGGAGTGGGAGTCCTCCTGTTCCTCCTCCTCCTCCTCCACCACCCCTCCTCCTCCTCCCTCTCCTCCTCCTCTCCTCCTCCTCCTCCGTCCTCCATCCCTCCCTCCTCCTCCTCCTCCTCCTCCACCTCCTCCTCCTCCTCTCCTCCTCCTACCTCCTCTCACTCCTCCTCCCTCCTCTCCTCCTCCTCCTCCTCCTCCTCCTCTCCTCTACTCCTGCCTCCCTCCTCCTCCGCCACCTCCCTCCTCCTCCGCCCCTCTCTCAGCTCCTCTCCTCCTTCTCCTCCCTCCTCCTGCTCCTCCAGCTTCTCCTCCTCCTCCGCTCCTCCTCCTCCTCCTCCTCCTCCTCCTCCTCCTCCTCCTCCTCCTCCTCCTCCTCCTCCTCCTCCTCCTCCTCCTCCTCCTCCTCGCTTTCAGCGGATCGGCAAGAGGCTCACAGTTGCGAACATATGTGGGGGTCCAGGGCTGGGCAGACTTCGACCGATTCAGCCTTCGACCACAACCTGAGCCAGGAGATAGGAGAACTCTTAGGTGAGCACACCTGCACTATTCTCTTGGACATGACAAAGTGCTTCGATAGGGTCAGTCACAGTGCACTTCTCCGAGAAGCCAGAGAGCTCGGGTACCCGCTGAGGCTCCTGTGGTTGCTCCTGGGCTCCTACCGCCAGCCGGGAAGGATCAAGTGTTTTGGGTCCGTCTCCAGGCCCTTGGTGGCCCATCAGGGTATTCTTGCGGGCTGCACGCACGCCACTTATCTTTTATATCTCCTCACGTACCGAGCGGTCCAGCGCACGGCTAGTATTGCACCTACTATCACGCCACGCACGCTCATGGACGATGTGGGCCTGCAGTACGTGTCGCCCGTCTTGCGGGAGGTGTCCAACCTGGCCCGAGCGGCCAAGGCGTTCACGGCTGATGCTGGTGATCTCGGGATGGTCCTGAAGCCGCCGAAGTCTGGATGTATCCCTGGGTCCCAAAAGGTTTGGGGGCAGCTCAAGAGGCACTTGGGAACCTTGAAGATCCCGTACAGGGCCCACATGAGGAATCTGGGACACGAGCTCACAGGACCTCGAGTTCTTCGGCGTATGGAGAAGCGTAGGCTGGTGCAGTTTCGTGAGCGCAAGCATCGTTTTCGCATGTTGAAGTCCGCCGTGGGGCGGAGTGCTACCAGCCTGTGGCGCACGGGCGCCCTTCCATCAGTGGCGCATGGCGGAGCAGTTGGTGGAGTTAGTGATAGCGCCCTTCGTGAGTTGCGACATTGTGCTGCGGTCCTAAATGGTGCTCCAGGTAAGACGATGGTTGGGGTAACAGCGTATCTTATATCGCATCGGGATGAATGCTATGACCCCATATATAACGCCACCACGGACATTGTGCTCAAATATGCCTCCTGGATCTGGGACGGGCGAGTACAACCTAGCAGACTTCGGGAGGCTTGGGTCAGTCTGGGTGCTAAGTTTGGGAGTTCACCTTCCTGGTCTAAAGCGCGAGGGCCCCTCGGGGCCACTTGGCTTACTTTGAGGCGTATCTCCTGGACTATGTCGTCTGAGCACATCCTGGTCGACGATTTGGGAAATAGTTTTGAATTATACCGTATATGTCCAGCAGACCTGCGTGTGTTCCTGCATCAGGGCATCCAGCGCTGGCAGCACCATAGGTTGCAGCAGCATTTTACACCGAGCAGGCGGATGTGTGGCATCGTGCGCTACGCCACTCGCTCGCCAAGATAAAGTGTCACAGGCGCCTCGGAGCGCTGCAGGCTTTGTGGGCAGACAATCTTCCCATCCCACCGCGTCGGAACATGAAGCATGGGAGGCCCATTAGGCCTTGTCAGGCCTGTGGCAAGGCTATCGACTCCTGTTGGGGTCATATCTTTTACGACTGCCCGCCGCTCCTCGAAGGGAACCCCGACCAGGAATATTATGAGTTTCCAGAACAGCTTGAGGAGGTTCGAGACATGCTTCAGGCGTCTGGGCAGCTGCTGGGGTGCACCGACTGGGACCAGAGGTACCTGATCTATGGGGTTCCTGAGCCTGTGGCTGTGCCGCACTACACTACGGTCTCCAACGAAGTTTTTGAGTGGGGAGATGTCTCAGGCTCCTGGGGGCCTACATCCTATACTGATGGTTCTGGGTTCTCGGCCAGCATTCCTGAAGTACGTAGGTGTGGTTGGTCGGTCTGCCAGTTGGACCCCGTCACGTGGCTCCCCGCCAGAGCTGTATATGGGCCCTTGCCCTACTATGTGCAGACGGTAGGCCGTGCTGAGCGCTATGCCATGAAGATGGGACTTCAGAAGCATCCAGGGCATGAGGTTTTCATTTCGGATCTGAAATCGCTCGTTGAGGAGGGCACGTCCTGGGACCAGAAGCTCGAGTTTGGCAAAGCGAAGCACGCCCGAGTCTGGAGAGACATGTTTTCTGCTGCCAGAGCACGTGATCCACGTCTGCCACCAGTGCGGTTTCAGTGGGCTCCAGCTCACAGGAAGCTGGAGGACATCATCGAGTGGGCCACGCCAGACGAGCTGGACCGACTTCTTCGCGAAGTGCGGCAGTGCTGCACATATGGTGTCTAAAACAGTGGCTGACAGTTTGGCCGCGGCGCTGAAGCAGCACAAGCAGGTCTTGCATTATGTGTCTTGGGCGGTCTTCCAGGTGGTTCAGTTTCGTAAGTGGGGAACGGATCCTATCGCGGAGCGGGACCCAGAGCTTGCCCAGGTGCCCAAGCGTGTGGTCTTCGAGAGGCCCCAGGACCATGAGTTGCTCTTCTGCCAGAGGTTGTCTGAGTATCGGTGTCGTCGGTGCAATCGAGTCGCTCGAAGTGCGAGTACCCTCCATACTCTTCGCTCGGGAGCTGATCGAGTGTGTGCTCCCACGCCTCTGGTCCAGAGCTTGGCCGATGACTTCTTCCTGCGGAATTCTGAGGCGTGGCTTAGTAGTTCGGACTCTAGAGTCACGGCTGCCATCGAGGCGGCCGATAGGATTTTGGGGTCCACGCCTGGGCTTCGGGAGCCCTCCTCGGGACTGGGCGCGGTCCCTCCTCAGCCGCTGGAGCAGGCGAATGCTGCCAGTGGCTCTGCCGACGCTCCCCAACCAGTGCTTGCCGAATTCGCTGAATTGGGGCATGACGTTTTCTGTGTTAATTCCGTTTATTGCTGCCGCAAGTGCGGGGGCAATTTCAACGGGTCCGAGTCCTTCAGGTCCGCCCGCAAACTGCGGGCGCTGTGAAGGGTTTTCGGAGAATCCAAAGACTCGGGCTAACCAGCACACGGCGATCGACAGAATCACCCGTGGCTTGGAGCCCCGCCAGCGAGGGGCAGGTGCGGCGCGTTCTGGCCCGAACCCTGCCCCCTAGAGTTGCTCTTTGGACCCTGGGAGGTTTTAGGGTGTGGTTTTCCTGAGGCGCCCCACCCTCTCCCAGGCTTTCGCCTTTTCCGCCACCCCTGTGGCTCTCAGGTCTCACACGCGGTTGGTGTTCGTCACTCGGACGCCTCTCCTGCGGCTCGCTCGCTCCTCCTCCTCCTCCTCCTCCTCCTCCTCCTCCCCCCCCTTCCCCTCTTCCTCCTCCTCTCATCTCCTCCTCCTCCTCCGCCTCCTCCTCCTCCCTCCCTCCTCCTCCTCCTCCTCCTCCCCTTTCCTCCTTATCCTCCTCCTGCCCCTCCTCTTCCTCCTCTCCTCCTCCTCCTCCTCCTCCTCCTCCTCCTCCTCCTCCTCCTCCTCCTCAGCGAACTCCCGCGGTGTCCCGGGGTTCCCCGGCATCCCCAGGTTCATTGGATCCCGGTTGTGCCTAGACATGGCCACGACAGGGTCATCTTCCAGCGACAAAGCACCGTCTTGAGGAGGGCAAAAAGAGAACAAGAAAGGGTGAAGGAGGTGAAGGGAGCAGCACAGCTGAATTGCCGTGTGCCCACTGCACGCGACCCCCTCGTAATTGCGGCACGCGAGGCTCCGCGATTCTCTCGGGGACGACTCCAAACCAAATCTCACAGCAAACCCACAAGAACCAGACGGCCGCTTCACATGCTGGGAACGCCGTCTCCCGAAGTCTCTGGAGGCCCCCAGGGGCCCGCGAGGCCTTTGGAGGCCGCCACATGCTCTCCAAGGGCAGGAAAAAAATATGCCAACAAAAAATCTATCGTCGAACCTCGACCAACCCTCTCGAGGACGATGAGGAGCGCGAGAGGAGAAGCACGAGGAGGAGTCGCCCGCGCGCCCGAGGGGGCATCTCGACGGCGTCGCAGGCCCTGTTTTGGAGCCCCGCTCTCTTGGAGCAGGCGGCTCCGCGTGGAATGCTTTGTACAGCTTTGTACACGGCTTCGAGCCGACCGCGCAAGGGGGGCGCACCAAGAAAGGCCGGGGGGCGTCCACAGAGGGGGGCGTCCGAGAGAGGGGCTCGCAGGTCGTGGCCTCGATGCCGCCCCGGCCCGCCGGGCGCTCGGCCTACGTGCCTCGCCCGCATCCTCCTCCCGCAGCCCTCCCTCCTCGTCCTTCCCTCCTCCCTCTTCCCTCTTCCCTCTTCCTCCTTCCCTCGTCCTCCCTCTTCCCTGTTCCCTCTTCTTTCTTCCTCCTCCTCCTACTCTTCCTCCTCCTCGACCACCTCCTCCTTCCTCCTCCTCCTGCTCCTCTTCCTCCTCCTCCTCCTCCTCCTCCTCCTCCTCCTCCTCCTCCTCCTCCTCCTCCTCCTCCTCCTCCTCCTCCTCCTCCTCCTCCTCCTCCTCCCCAGACGTACTGTCCGGGGAGAGACAAGACGACCTCACGGCCCCAGCCAGGAGATCCCCCCACCCCATGTTCATCACCCCCCTCTTTCGGGTGTTGCTAGAAGTACCCCTGGCCCAAGGCACCCCCAGGGTTCTCGGGGTGGCCCAGGCGGCCTCCAGGGCACCCCTCACGATGCCCAGAGGGCCCCACGGGCTCCAAAGTGGAGCGAAAAGCTGGGGGTACCTTGGGCCAGAGGCACTTCTAGCAACACCCGACTCTTGGCCGCCCCCGAAGGAGGAGAAAAGCCGTGGGGGGGGGAAGGTCAGAGGGCTCGACCGAGACCGCATGTCGGCCCCGGCCCCCTCGCGCTTAAAAAAACGCATCGGCACCCCTCGGGGATGGCGAGCCTCGTCGCTCCGCGGCCCGTCCAGGGACGCGGGGCGTGTCCCGACCCGTGGGGCTCGCCCGCGGCGAGACACCTCCGAGCGGCCACGGGGCGGGCGAGACGCAGTCTCTGCGAGGGCGCGGGCGAGGATGCCAGGTGCCTCCTGCACAGCAGGCGCACGCTTCACAGACCAGGCAGGGTATTGCGTGCTGCAGGCTGCAGCCGTCTTGAAATTGGCACCTGCTTGCCCGACGAGCCGAGGAGCAGAGAGTGAGAGAAAGAGAGAAAAGGAGAGAGAGAGAGAGGAGGAAAAAAGGAGAGACAAGGAGAGAGTAAGAGAGAGAGAGAGAGAAACAAACAAAAAAACGAGAGAGAGAGAGAGAGAAAGAAAGAAAGAAAGAAAAAAAGAAATAAAGAAATAAAGAAAATATGAAAACTACAAAGATAAGTAAACGAGAGAGAGAGGAGAGAGAGAGAGAGAGAGAAAAAAAAAAAAGAGCGAGAGAGAGAGAGAGAGAGAATCAGAGGAAGGGGAGGAGGAGGAGGAGGAGGAGGAGGCGGAGGAGGAGGAGGGGAGAAGGAGGAGGGGACGGGGTCGGAGAAAGGAGGCGGGGGAGGAGCAGCTCAGAGAGAAGGCGCAGCAGAGAGAAGCGGAGGGAGACCGACGAGGACGACGAGGGCGACGGGGACGACGAGGAGGAGCGGGGCGGACGACGCGGGGGGAAGAGGAGGAGCAGGGGCAGAGCGGAGGAGGAAGACGGCGAGGACACGGGGGCAGGAATGAGGCACAGCCGCAGCAGGGAGAGGGGGGAGGAGGAGGAGGACGACGGCATGGAGGGCGTCGAGAACTAGGACGAAGACAGGGAGGACGACGACGAGAAAGGACGACGACGACGACGACGACGACGACGACGACGACGACGACGACGACGACAGAGGACGGTCAAGGACGGCCAAGGACATCTGCACGTCCGCCACAGGCAGTCCGCAGCAACTCCCCACGAGAGCTCCGAGAGGAGGGGGGGGGACGATAGGAAGGGGAAGGTTGGGAGGAGGAGGAGGAGGAGGAGGAGGAGGAGGAGGAGGAGGAGGAGGAGGAAGGGGAGGACGGGGGCGACGGGAAGAGGGAACGAGGGAGGAGGCAAGGAGCAAGAGGGGGAAGAGGGGGGCATGGGGCATGAGTGGAAAACGAGGCGCAGAACGAAACGGAACGACTGCGATCCAATGCACCCATTTCTGTGCGGCAGCGCATTCCTACTTTAATACTTGCTGAAACTCGCAGGAAGACGAGCTGGAGGAGGAGCACCCGCGCGAACCTGCACGCAGCTTCGAGCTTCGGGGAGGAGAAGAAAGAGGAGGAGGAGGAGGAGGAGGAGGAGGAGGAGGAGGAGGAGCAGGAGGAGCAGGAGGAGCAGGAGGAACAAGAGGAGCAGGAGGAGCACGGCAGACGACGAGGGGGCGGAGGGGGCTCAGGAGGACGACGACGGCGGGCACGAGAACCAGAGAGGCGCCGCGCTGGGCGAGAGGCGGGCATGGGGCCCACTGCCGAGGGCAGTCGGCCCGCTCCGGGTGCTGCCAGAGCAGACCCTCCTGCGCCACTCGCGGAAGGCCCCCTCTGGGGCTGAGCCTCGTAGGGGATGCTCTCTGGAGGCCAGCTGGGCCTGGACGGTTTCCCCCGGGGCCGTAGGCGGCCCCGAGGAAGGGAGGGCGAGGAGTGGCAGGTGGAGGAGAAGGAGAAGGAGGAGGAGGAGGAGGAGGAGGAGGAGGAGGAGGAGGAGGAGGACGGGTCTCCTAAGCCCTTCGGGAGAAACCCTCCAGCTGGGCCTCCTCGGGGAACCCTGGGGACACCCTGGGCCAGGGACACCTCCGGCAGCACCCGGCCGCTTAAAAGTTCAAAGGCGCCTTCAAAGGCCCCCCGGGCGACAGGCCCGGGCGGGACAGCGGCCCGGCCTCGCTGTGCGTGCACCCCTGCGGCCTTTGGGTACCATACCATTTTCAAACTACTCGTGCATACACTCCTCCTGTAGAGGGACATGCCCGACTTGATGCTGCCTCGGCCGCGCTGGGATGGCGCGCGCTGGCCGAGCGGTGTAAAAACCTGGTGGGGGGAGCGGCGCTCGCTGGGAGGGCGCCGGCCACACGCCCTCCACCTGCCCTGGCCGGGCGCCAGCGGGGTCCGAGCAGGTGGGGTCGGAGGAGCCCGCCGCATCGCCGACGCATCGGCGACGTCGGCATCGGGACAGAGAGCATTGGGCACCGAAGCGGGCGGGGTCGTCGATGCGCTGCAGCGGTGCGGCGCGGCCCTCCGAGCCCAGCGGCTCGGGCGCCACTCGAGAGGCCTGGCATCCCGAGCCGTTCTTGACGGTCCCGGGGCCCGACGAGAGCCGTCAGAGGCCGAAGCGATCGAAGAACCTCCATCTCAATGTAGTACGAGGAGGACGAGGAGGAGGAGGAGGAGGAGGAGGAGGAGGAGGAGGAGAACGAGGACTGTTGCTTACCACTCCTGTATGCGCGCCAATGTGCATGCCAGCCACTGCTGTACCTACCGAGGCGGCACCACCAACTGATCTACGGGCCTAGGCATATCTCAGTTCTTATTCATTTATTACTGGCGGTACTAACTAAGGTGTTTGCCGACCTCGAGGACCTGGCGGGCGCCTGCTCTTTTTTTGTTATCCCATTACTCTTCTTAGCTCAACTTCCGCGGCGCCCGCCAGGGCTTTTTTGCGCCGAGCCGGTTCCCTACAGTCGCAAGAACGCCACACATGCACACACAAGGTCTGGCCAACGCAAAAAGGAGGATCAGGAGCAGAAGCAGGAGCAGGAGCAGGAGGAGGAGCGAGGGGAGGAGGAGGAGGAGGAGGAGGAGGAGGAGGAGGAAGAGGAGGAGGAGGAGTAGGAGATGGAGGAGGAGGAGGAGGAGGAGGAGGAGGAGGATGAGAGGGAGGAGGACGAGGAGGAGAAGGAGGAGGAGGAGGACTGTTGCTTACCACTCCAAGGTACATGCTGGACGCTGCTAGCCTGTATGCACGCCAATGTGCATGCCAGCCACTGCTGTTCCTACCGAGGCGGCACCACCAACTGATCGACAGGCCTATGCTTATCTTAGTTCTTATAAACTTAGTACTGGCGGTACTAACTAAGGTGTTTGCCGACCGAGGACCTGGCGGGCGCCTGCTTTTTTTTTGTTATCCCCTTACTCTTCTTAGCTCAATTTCCGCGGCGCCCGCCGGGGATTTTTTGCGCCGAGCCGGTTCCCTACAGTCGCAAGAACGCCACACATGCACACACAAGGTCTGGCCAACGCAAAAAGGAGGAGCAGGAGCAGGAGCAGGAGCAGGAGCAGGAGGAGGAGCGAGGGGAGGAGGAGGAGGAGGAGGAGGAGGAGGAGGAGGAGGAGGAGGAGATGGAGATGGAGGAGGAGGAGGAGGAGGAGGAGGAGGAGGAGGAGGAGGAGAGGGAGGAGGAGGAGGAGGAGGACTGTAGTGTAGCACAGATGCTCTTAAGGGTCGGCACAACCCGGTTACTCCTTTTCTGGAGCGTAGCTGCTGATGTCGGGGATCGGCCTGGGGAATGCGACGAGCCCCCCAGCAGCTGCAGACCTCCCGCCGACGCGAGGGCCCCTCCGACAGGCAACCGTCTGCCCTTACAGAGGTGACCACCTCGGCGCTCCCCCTCGCTTCCCTGATGTTGCCAGGGTGGGAGCGGGCAAAAGGCCGAGCAAATCCAGCACCAATGGCTAGAGCCAAAATGGTGCCGTAGGCCGCACTCGGCTTGGAAGGGCGTGCCGGCCCATCCGTTATTATCTTCTGCTCGGGTGTGGACCTATTCTAAAATATTTTAGAATGGGGAATAGGTCAGTGCCCCCCTTTCTTCGGGCGGGGGATTCAGGCCATGCCCTGGCCAGCTCAGACGCCCATTCGTGGGGACGTGAGGGAGACAGAGATGTTAACAAAGTCACCCCCCCCTCCTTCGAGCGGGGGGCTCAGGCTACGGATGGAGCAATGACCGTAACGAGAGCCGACAGAGGCGAGTCAATAACTGCCAATCTCGCGCCTGTGCAAAAGGATCAATGAAATGAGGTTCCCCGATGATGCCGTGCCGTAGACACTGAGAACTGCGGCAGGGTCTCGAGGTGCTGGGCAGCAGGGTCGACAAGGCTATTAGTGGACTCGAGTCTACCCAATTTTGCTTCTACTGCGAGGGCCACGTTTAGAGAACATGTGGAGTGGAACTTGAGCTCAGACTTTCATTAGGGTGCCTGCTCGGATCGAACCCCCTGAACAGGTGCCTGGGATTAAGCTCGACGCGTGCCCTGGGATTCTGGCTCGGACTAAGCCCCCGAGGAAGGGCCCAGGGCATTTGCCGCCAGGGAACAGCGGCAGCTGGATGTGTAGCAGGGTGATGGGAAGGGACGAAAGAGAAGGAAACAGAGAGGAGGGGAGAAGGCAGGGACGCCAGGGACTGGCGGAAGATGGAGGGGTGAAGGGAGATGAGGTGAGGCGTCTTTTGTGCAGGACTACCAGCTGTCGCCGGGTGCGTCCTTGAGGCAACGGCCTCGCGACGGGGGCAATCGTGCAACATCGAAGGATGCACGAATCCTGGTCTTGCCGCCGGGGAGCGGCGGGAAGAAGAAGGGGGAAGGAGGAGGGGGGGATGAAGAAGCGCGTAAGAGAGTGCAGGCTTACCTGCCTTTCCGCCGGGCGCGTCTTTCATGCACTTGCCTCGCGACAAGGGCCAGCGTGCCGCCAGGGAGTGGCGGAGGATGGAAGGGGAGTGGAAGGATGGGCGGAGTCGAAAAAATGTGCAGGACTACCGGCCTTGCCGCAGGGTCCGACTTTGAGGCGAATGCCTCGTGACAGCGGCACGCGTGCAGAATCTGACGCTGCACGCAATCCGGTCTTGCCGCCAGGGAGCGTCGGATGTCGGTCGAGCATGGCGCCAGCTCGGCGCAGTGGCAAAATTTCCAGGCAGGAGCTGTGAAACTTCACAAACTCGCTGGGGAAAATTATGGGAAGGGGGGGGGGAGTGAGAGGGGCACGTGAGAGTGTGCAGGACTACCGGCCTGGCCGCCGGGTGC